AGACGGTTTCATCCCTTCCAGTTCCTCACTATTGTCAGCGGTTAAGCTACGGCCACCGAAAGAGGCTAATGGCAACATTTAGAAGCTAGTTTTCAGAGAGGTAGATGTCACAGAGCTGGATGTACTCATTGTTTGTTCTAAAAATAATGGCTTATGTATCTTCTACCTGGAACTATATGATTACGAGCAAAGTGCTAGTATCTAACTGGATATTAAAAATAAAAAGAGTAAATTTTAGAAAGCTACAACTTTAGTGATAAAACTATCAGTTTGCTGCAACATTAGCGACATGTTTTAGTTTGCTGCAACGATAACGTGGGAAATTATCACAAACGTTAGATGCTGCTGCAGACCTACAGTACATATAGGTGACACAATTAGCAGCATATAATGTAAACGTTACAGTTTTCTGATAATTTCCCACGCTATCGTTGCTGCAAACTGAAACATGTCACTAATGTTACAGCAAACTGATCAGTTTTGTCATCAAAGTTGCAGTTCTCTAAAATTTACTCAAACAAAAAACATGCTTGTCTTCCCGGTACCTCCCAAACCCATGTAATTGAAGAAATCGACCTCGAAGCATTGTCTCAATTGATTTCCTTCCTCATCGTGAGCATGGTGATTTTATAATTGTGAATTGTGATAGACAGGCTTCTTGGTTTCTTTTACACCACCCCAGCACACATTGCCACTAGCTATATACCCATCTCAGCATTTACTGTTGCTAAAAGGCATGAAGGATATAGGAAATTTAGTGGATAACTAGAAAGGTAGCCCACGCGAATGCGTGGGCATGTATCGTAAGTTGTATTTGAGACACTTATAGAAGCGAAATATTAACTGGATAACATTTGCATGCCATGATTCAAAAGTATGATTTATTTCATAAATTTTCTTCTTGGTATTGCTTAGTTAAAATTTTCTAACCTATTAGAGTTGTTCCAATTATCTAAGGCAATTATGATGCAATGGTTATTGCAATAGTCATGTTCAATTTAATTAAGTGTAAAGTAAGAAGCAAAATTTTCTCCCTATTGATATTTTTATATTTTTTATTTTATTTTATACAAATATTATTTAAGTATAAAATTTGTGATATGATAAATAGAAACATAGCATTACACACTTTTTATATCAACCTATTGTTGATATATTATTCTTAACTCGTCAAGACTGGTCTACTAACTCTCTCCCAACTTCTCTTTCTCTCCCTTGCACTTGTTCGCGCAAGAACATATTTGGGTTCTAAAGTCTGAGTAAATTTCTTATAATTTGTGTGTGTAGTATATGACAATTGTTTAGTGACAACAGTTTTCTTGCAGCTCCTAGTCACATTGCCCCATGGTTGTAATACTTGTGTAGATGGTGAGAGACCTATGGAGGATGCATTACGATCCATTATAGTGATGTTTACATAATTGATCATTTTTTAATGTCTTGGGATACAAATGATTCATCTTTTTAATGGTTTGTGCACAAAGAAATAAATGAATTTGTGTTCATACCTAAAAGGTGTAGAAGAATATCTATATATGATTAATGATTGCACAAACTTGTGTCATTGAATTATTTTGTAGCTTTTTATTCAATTCGGACGACATGCAAAAAGCCAAGTGTTGTCCACCGATAAAAATATTCTTTCTTCCTTAATTTTTTTTTTCGGATTCTACCGATTTAGTTTAGCTATGTATCTTCATAGAATGATATATATAATGATGTAATATATACTGATATTTTTTTATCATATTTCTTTGCTATCTGGATGACATATATAATTCATGGGTTGACTATGATATATTGCTTATAAAGAAAAATATAGGCATACAAATCTTAATTTGTTTGTTTAATTACAAATAGAGAAATAGTTATATTAGAAATCAAACGTGCAGTATGTAGCTTAAAAATTATCATAAATTCAAAATTGCAATTATTAATTATTTTTCTTTTTAGTTGGATAGCTAAATAATAGGAACGGAGAGAGGAATGAAGAGCACCGGTTTGAGCTAGTGGGAAGAGCGGACAGTGATATACACATGTTAGGGGAGGGGGAGAGGGAGATGAAGGGATCTTTATTTTCTTTGAGATATATTTATTGGGTTCATAGGTGGAGGAAGTTGATGGAACTGTTTGTAAATGAATGTGGTGTTGTTAACATTGTTTGATGAGAAAACACATAAAAAGGCATAATACAGTTTCGTGTGATAAATTTTTAATTAAAATATTGTTAATATGCGAAGTGAGCATAGCTCAACTGGTTAGGTTCCTTGTGGTGGAACCAGCCCACCCGGGTTCAAATCCTAGATTTGATACGGGTGCTCGCATTTACGGCTAATTATTTTTTCAGTGGTAGGCGACGTACCCGTCGATAGCGAGGCGCCTGTGGTGACTTCGTCAATCTCGCATGTTAGATCGTTTGTTTTTCTCGATGATAGGTGCCTATGTATGTACATGCCCTTTTTCTTTCCATCTATAGTGTACTTGTTTTTTGCATTTTTCCTTCTGGGGTATGTACGTACATACTTTTTCTTCTTTTTTTTTCCGTGAATATTGTGTACAAATTTACGTACATACATGTTTTTTCTTTCTCTGCCTTTTTCTCTTGGGCCATCGGTATGAGAAGTGGAGGATATACGTACCATATATATGGGCTAACGGGGAAGAAGAGCGAGATGGATTACATGTTTTTTAATTTTTTTAAAGATAAATCTAATAGTTAAAAATAGTGGGTCCATCTATTTATTATAGTGTGATCTAATCTAATGGTCTAAAATAATGGACCCACCGGTTTAAATGAAAATTAAGGGCTAGATGTTTCTAATATATTAGAACGCCACGTGGCGGCATATGAGCGTTTTTAGGAATCCTATGTGGTGGCTTGAGAGCGTTTATAGAATGTTTAATGGACTTTTAGTATATAATAGAAGATAGAAGATAGATAGATATATATACTAAAGCATGAACCACCAACATCTAGTACCATATTGCAACTTTTTTTTTGTCCTTGATGGTTAGTGTTGGCATATAAGTAACCAAGGTACGCTAAGTCTCTGTTTGTCACAACAGGCTAACTTTCGAACAAAATGAAATGGATGTCCTTAATTCAAAGGAGAGGTATGTTAGCTTCACATGTAGGATTAGGAAGCATCAGGATATCACTACAGTAAAGATTGAAGTGTAATTTTTCAGGTGGCTACCATTATAGTGATTATTTGAAGTAGAGATTATCCAACTACAGTCCCATTTACTAGAATGATATAGAACGGAGGGCTTCATTATATCCCAGTATAACTTCCATTCAGAACTCTTCTTGCGACTGGGATGTCATCAATGGTCTGCTATTTCAGTCGCAAACTCTGTGTTTGCTATACAAACAGTGAGGCTCAAAGATTATATGTTAATTTCACCATAATTAATTATATATGTGCATATAAAAGTATTAAGTATAGTAAAGTTATTGGCTTCTCTAATTCAATTTCTTTCGATAACAACAGTTTGGCATGTTTCAAGATAACCTGACAACATTTTGCTGCAAGTCATCCACAAACTCAGATCTTTTCCATGGTTTTCTTGAAGATTGCTTGGTGGCCAGTAATGTTTGATTTTGCAGTAGTACACTTTGCCTGAAACAGAAAATGCAGCAGTATACTGGTTAATCATAACAAAAGAAATCCCCGTATAAAATTCTGATCAAGAATCACGAATGGAATCGTTAATCTGTGCAATTAATATCAACTATATACTTTTAAACTTCATGGCTTGAATATATACTGGAGTATAAAGCAAACATTATGTGGGACTTTATATCAAAGTTAACTAGCATTGCTGAATGCAGGGCTATAAATCAAGAAGGCATTGCAAAGTTTGCATCTGGAAACTGCCATGTGTCTGCATAACTCAGAAGTAGAAGCTCTCCTAGAGCTAAATTAAGCTAGTACAAATATTATACTCCCTCCATTTTTAAATGTTTGACATTGTTGATTTTTTAGCATATGTTTGACCGTTCGTTTTATTAAAAAAATGTGTGAAATATGCAAAACTATATGTATTAATGAAAGTATATTTAACAATAAATCAAATAATAGGAAAGAAATTAATAATTACTTTTTTTTAATAAGACGAATGGACAAATATGTTTAAAAAAATCAACAGCGTTAAATATTTAGAAAATGAGGGAGTAGCAAGTACAAGAAGACTCTTAAAAAAAAATACTAAGTACAAGGAACAACACTGAAGCAGGGCCGTACTTTTAGTACACAAGAAATGCCCTTTTTACCCACTAAACTTCCTATGTCCTTTCATTAAATTGCCATACGGTGAGAAAGGAATTATTGACACAATGTTCCAAGCTACAATGCTTCTATTACATGGGTTTGGGACGTACCAGGAAGACTCTAATCTGGAGTCTTCCTTAGAAGCAAACATAAATAATTTTCTATCAATGCTTCAACCTTGTTTAGATGTGGAAAGATTAGAGTCAATTATGTTTCTCGCAAGGACTTCACGAACTATTTGAAGAAATTAGTTTTAACCTCCAGCTATCAATGTTGACAGAATTGTAGTTTGGGTTGTGTTTAGATCCAAACTTCAGTCATTTTCCATCACATCAACCTGTCATATACACACAACTTTTCAGTCACATTATCTTCAATTTCAACCAAAATCCAAACTTCCCCCTCAACTAAACACAGCCTTGATATATGTAATCTCTCATGAATGGCATCCAGAGGAAGATGAACTTTGCAAAATGGATTCTTCGAGTTCATTGCCAAATTTGCCATAGGACATCATGGTTTGTTAAGTTTTGGTTCCTAGTCCTATAGCTCTCCCCCAAAACAGACAATGGTAAGGTGGTCTCAAGGATGACGAATGAAATTTACTTGCAATGGTTTGTGCACCCAACATAATATTGTTGAAATGAAGCGTTGCGATTTATCACCAATACGTTTCGATACTCTACAAAATAAGACATTCAAATTGAAGCTGCAACAATGAGAACATGACGAAATAAATGGATTATCCATACTAAATACAAGGAAATAACACCTGGAGATTTTATTACAGAGCATCAAAGGCATAGAGGTACTGTTAATATTTTACAGCGCATATAAATTCCTAGTTCAGGATCAACATGTGCTGCTGGTCAGATCTAATCAACACTTTGAATTATTTACATCTGGCTAACACCACTAAATTAGTGCAAGAGTTAGTTTCTAGCACTAGGATCATAAGCAGTTAGTCCGATGCTATTTGGATTGTACAACCAGCTTCTTAGCAACCAGCCGGATACCAGCATTTTCTTCGTAGTCATATAGTTCCAGAGAGAAGAATGCGTCCACCATGTTCCCTCGAACAAACCAAGAGTCCAGCTCCGCGACATCTACCTTGCTGAAAACTAGCTTCTGAATGTTGCCGCTAGCCTCTTTCTGGTATATTTCGGTCCCATAGGTCGCAGCTTCACCGCTGACAATAGTGGGGATGCTGCAATGAAAGGTTGCTGTTAGAGCTTCTGAAAAGTGGGATAATGTTTGTGCTTTGAGGTTAAAAATGAGAGAGAATGATATGACTCACTGTAGGCGGACAGTAGGACAATTCACATAACCATATTTTTTAATCAATGGTCTCCATTCAGAAGTGCTCCCAGAATCCTGAGATGATTTCTGAGCGATACCATCACAGAATTCTAGAATTTTACTGAGATTCTCAGGGATGTCAACCAGTATGTTCAACTTTGGGCGACCTGCGCTGTCTAGGAACTTTGTGCTGACTCCAAACTGGATCCGCAGACCAGCACAACAAAGTTGGATCGGGCTACCTTTGTGCTTGATAGATGTTTTTCGAGTTAATCGGTAGGAAGAAGGAACAGAAATTTGGATGGACTCAGTTGAAACGTCATCTGGCTCGAGGAACCCAGAAAACCCACTAGAACTTGCATCGATCTGTATGCCAGAACCTAATGTCATTTCCTCGATATTGGATATCAACTCAATGGGTTCCTTGTTTGTTGCAGGATCGATTGATTGTTGGTTACCTCCAGCTTGGATTGCATTGTCAACTCGAGAAATTGTTCGTTGCCGTTTTGAGGAATCAGGTGAAGACCGTGCTACAGGTTTTGGCACCTCAGGAGAAGCAGCTCCATTAGCTTGGCTCCTTGTAATTGCACGCTCCACCAGGTTCTCAACAGTCAGCACTCCTGGAAGACTTGCCTCCTGTGGAAGAACTTCACGATTTAGCCAATAGATTATATCAAACAGTGAGACACATCAGTAAATTACAAACATATTGTAAAAAAATGATAATTGATTGGCTATCCATCTCACTACAAACATATCAGCGATTATCTCAATAATACGTTGCTACTACAAACTACAGCAGTGCAAAATTCAATTATTGACAGCAAAAGAAAAGCTAGCTAGTTGCCAAGATCCTGTAGTTCATTCATTTCAATGCAGAAGTTTCCAGATAATGAACATATCATACTTCCATTGCAACAGTTAAACCACTTGACCAATGCATGGAAAAAAATAAAAGAAACAAATAGTGATTTCAGGCAAAGAAGCATTGGACAATGTTACTGTCCACATCATAAAACTATAGGCAGGTGAAAATCAGAAGGTAATCCAAACATACCAAGAAGAGAACTGTAGCACAATACTTGAGAACTTCAAGATTCATCCTAACATCATCAAGGCTCCTGCAAACAAATCGTGGAGCAAATTCGAAAAACATCATTACTTCATTCATTGTAGGATATATACTAAAACCCAAAAAAAAGGGAGATAACTATTCCTAATCCCCTATCGCAATAGCGAATGCTTGAAGATGTGAAGTGGGATCATGATAAAGTTACCTACTATTAGTTATCATTCACATCAGGTGTATAGTTAGTACCAGGAGTAGCACTGATGGACGATTTATGGTTCCATCATATTATCTATTAAAATAATAAATAATAGTTTTCATAGAGCTTTAGGGAGTGGAACGGATACTAGTCTGCGCAACATGAGGGGGGTAAGATCTACAGGGACTGGATTTCAGGATCCTGGTTGACTTATTGACACCAAAAGACAACTGTGGGTAAGTAAAAAACAGCACTGTCCCACAAAAGTTTTGCAAACTATATATTCCAAATGGAACAGGCACTGCAAGCTGACTCTGCTTTGCTGGGTGACCAAATTGCCTCTCCATGGATGGTAAGAAAAGTTACACGACATGATGCCAAGGGCAGATATGTGCTTTCAATTCAAATAGGTAAGGATAAGAAATACTAGAAGAAACGACAAATTAGATGCAGCTATAAAATTTGGATTTTACATGCGCATATAATATACCTGTGACTTTGTCGCCCCAGACCAAAGTAATTTGCCAAGCTTGCCATCTGCAGATGAAGCAGATAAGAGGAAAAATCAGGCATATTCATTCAAAAGACAAAAAGGATAGTTTAAAGGTAAGAACTATCATTGAAGGTCAAATTCTTCAGCATATGTAGAACTCTGACTATCCATTATGACACATGTATAACTAAAGCATTATTGCCAAAATTACAAGTGATTACATGCAAAAACACAAGGTTATGTACCTTCATGTCCCCTGCTCTCCTCCCAAATTTCTGGGTAAGCAGAGGCAAGGTGTCGATCATCCCCTTTGGTTCCGGAGGTGGCCGTCCAATTTCAGCGAATGCTTCCCTTATTCTGGCCAAGTCAAACCTTACGATGTTGTGACCAGCCCAGACACGCCCTATTGAGAACTCTCAAGGTTAGAACATTATCAAACCAACTAAAATATGGCAGCTATTTATGCTAGCTATACACAAAGACAGCGTTTATAACCTCTAAACTTCAGTGCTACTTTTCAACGTAATGAACAAAATCCAACAACTACAGCCTTTGTACTAAACAAGATTTGGTATTGACAACTCCTGAATACTCTTTGCGCAGCTTAAGCTTGCATTTAATTACTGCTAATGACTAATGATGTCCTTAGTTTGTGAGAACAACTAAATGAAGATTTCAACAACTACAAGACAGCACATTGTGAGCTACACACAAGCTAAACCACTCCCAATTTTAGAATTATAGCTAAACCACTACCAATTTTGCAATTATAGCATCAAAAAGGATAAGGGTGAGCAGGAAAGATGGCGCAATTTACTAGTCCTTAAAGCTCCTGGATTAGTTTAGGATAAAATTGGCAGGTAAAAAAGAAAGAGCAGGAATTCCTAAATGTGGAGGAGCCGACACGCGTCGGTCACGCGGTGGCCAAGCCAGACAGAGGGGGTTCTCGCATCTCACCGTGAAGGACGCTGTAGACGGCGTCGGCGACGTCGCGGAAGGCCGGGGCGGCGGCGACGGCGTCGCGGGTGATGCCGTTGCAGCGCACGGACGCCGCGGAGACGACCCCGAGGTCGCCGGGGCGGACGAGCGTGGCGTAGGACCCCACCACGACGAGCCGCCGCGGGCACACGAGGATGGCCCCGAACTCCAGCAGCGCGTACCCCTGCCCCGCCCGCTGCGGCACGGAGGTCTCCACGTCGAAGAACGCGATCTCGGGGCCCCCCGCCTCCGGCACAGCTCCTCCTCCTCCTCCACCACCACCGCTCGTCCCCTCCCCCGCGCTCGTCGCCATCTCCATCGCTGCTGTATCGGGATGCCTCAGGAGGAGGGGAGAAGGCGTGGGATAAATAGGGAGGGAGGAAGCTAGGGATTGCGTGGGGGGGGGGGGGGGAGGGGAAGGGAGGCGGCGGTGGCGGCGAGGAGGAGGTGTTCGACGGAATGCCTCGCCGCGGGGGTGGCGTGGAGTGGAGGTGGGGGTTTGGAATAGGGAGTTTGGCTTGTTTGGATGGGGGAATCGGAATCGGAATGGGAATTGGGATTGGAATTTGGATTTGGAGTTTTTTTATATTGTGGGAAAGGAGTTGGGACTTGGGAGGTCGCTTAAAGGGTAAGGAATTTGGGGATGCGGTGGCGTCGAGCCAAGAAGGAACTGGAGAAGAGTATCTCCATGACTGTTGGTGCCCAGGTTTTTCATACTTCATCCGTCCTAAAATATAGCAATTTTTAGCTATAAATCTGTATACACAACTTAGATATATGTGTATCTAGATTCATAGCTAAAAATGCTTACATTTTGGGACGGAGGTAGTACCTTACAATTTGGGGTTCCCATCCTCTGCCGTTGAGGGAGAACGGCGGAAGAGCATAGTGAAACACGAGGGGAGCTACAGTGCCGTGCCGTCACTACAGTGAAAATTATATATTAATTATTTTTTACCGTTACTGTAGCATTTAATCTCGTGCATCCAAAACTTGATCCAACAGGTATAAATGCCTCCAATGGCATGGCACTGTACCTCTTAACTAGAATGGCAGAGGATGCGAAGCCTACAATTTGGATATAGGCATAAAGATGTAATGATGTGTTTGTTCCTACTTGTTGGGAACAAATCTCTTGCGCATGCAAAACGGATCGGTTCATTAACACGTAATTAATTAAGTATTACCTGATCTTTTAAAAAAATAGATTAATATGATTTTTGAAGAAACTTTCGTATAGAAAATTTTTACTAAAAAACGCATCGTTTAACAGTTTGAAAAACGTGCGCGCAGAAAACAAATGAGGTGAGTTGGGAAAAGAACTCAGCCTATGTATTCTACTCCATCCGTCTCATAAAGATTTTATTTTTCAATTTTTTTACACTTCATCTTATTTAAGAATTTTGTTTGGTTAGTATTTTTATTGTTATTAGATAATAAAACATAAATAGTATTTTATGCGTAACTTACCTTTTTAATTTTTTTTATATTTTTTTCAGATAAAACGGACAATCAAATGTTACACACAGAATCCTAAAAATGGAGTCTTTGTAGGACGGAGAGACTAGTATTTAGGTTTATTTTGATTAAGCAAATTGATTGAGCTATTTTTTATCGTTTCCCGTAAGCGTGTTTCCTAAACTATTAAACGGTGCATTTTGTGAAAAAAAATATGTATTAAAGTTATTTTTACAAAATCAAACAAATCGATATTCCAACTTTAGAATAGTTAATACTTAACTAATCATTCGCAAATTAACCGAGTTGAACTGCCGTTTCAAATGCAACAGCCATTTCAAAGGCACCAATAATCTTGCTATCCAGACATTACTTCGATATATGGTGCAATAACGGTGCTGGTTTCTAAAGATGAAGTCATGCATATGGTTTCATAGTCCCCAGAAGACCAACTACTAGTTTCAGTTTGAGATCCACTAAAAATGTATGATACATATATAACGCGCTAAACAAATTAAAATTTTCACCATGCTAAGATATATTTTGAACAACACTTCGAAATATTGTCACACAGTACTAGCTTACTGGTGGCATCAATCCATAAAACCTTAACAACAACAACAACCCCCTCCCCCGCCCCCACACACACACTACTTTTCCTGTCTGTTTGCTAAACTACTTTGATTGTGCGAAGGCTTCAACGGAATCCTTGGAATTCCAAAGACAATTAAGCTCCACTTTTACACTACTCTAAAGTGGGCATGCAGCCTAGTGGTTGTAGTGACCTAGGTAGCATCTCAAGATCCTGAGTTCAAATATCCTTATGAGCGAATTTCAAATTGAGTTGTTTGAAAGGCTAAGTTCTCAATTTAAATAGCTGCATATATCCTATTGGATATAAACTGGGTAAAAAATACCCTTCTATAAAAAAAAAAGTCCAAACATGCCAGCTCATAAGGAAGGACGGGACTCTACGCTGATGTTGGGTTTGGGAATTGGGAGAGGGAAGATAGTAAGGAAGAGAGTCCTCTAGAGTCATCATCAGACAACAATATAGTCATGGACTATGGGGGGTATTCTTGAGGAACTGGAAGCGCCTCTGATCATAGCTCGATTCTTATAATTGTCCTCTAGCTTAAGGTTGCATATAGCATGCCATGATTGCTACAAATTGCTCAAAAACTCCTCATATGGAGGCTCTCCCTCAGGTCTCAAATATGAAATAGCGATGGCCTGTAGTTTTTTTTTTAATTATGTGACAGCCAGCATTTTAACTCAAAACCTCTGGCTCGGATACTTTTTTTTTCCGGAATACAATACAAACGCAAATGCTCGTATGCACGCGTGTACAATCATTCAAAAGCTTAAGCTAGTGAAAAAAAATATAGACAATTCACTTATATTCCAAGAGATAAATACACGACGAAACAAATGTAGGTACTTTCATACCAAAATAGCCACATGTCTTGAGGGAGCATATGTTCCAACGGAGTTAGAAGCGCCTCCGATCAGGCGATCATAGTGTGGTTTGTGAGGGAGCGTGCACACGATATGGACCGCTTCCTCGCGCATGCAACTCTCGATCAATTAGTAGAGATCAACACCAACAAATTTATCACCATATGCATTGAAACGTTTTAATTCGAACTAGTAAGACATTGAAATTAATGGAAGCTGTAGGAGATCGATGTAAAACATGATGAAACAAATAATGGATTGTCCATACTAAATGGCCAAGGAAAGAGCACGAGATATTCTTACTACAGAGTACAGACGCATCAAAGCATAGAGGTAATTAACGTTGCTCGTTTATTACAGCACACGATCAGAGATGATCATGTTGCTGGCCACTTCTAATCTACACATATTCAAATTGTTTACATTACACCTGATTAACACCACCAAATTATAAGTGCAACTACGAATTAAAAAATATGAAACTTCGCACTCTTTTATAGGGCTGTTTAAAAAAAACTACTCCCTCCGTTTCACGATGTAAATCATTCTAGCATTTCTCACATTCATATTGATGCTAATGAATATAGACATATATATCTATCTAGATTCATTAGCATCAATATGAATGTGGGAAATACTAAAATGACTTACATTGTGAAACGAATGGAGTATTAATTAGTTTACAGCACTTGGGATTATATATCTGTTGTTTAGCCTGGTGATGCATGCTACCTGCAGTGTACAACCAGCTTCTTGGCGACCAGCCGAATACCAGCATTATTTTTGTAGTTGTACAGTTCCACAGAGAAGAACGCGTCGACCATGTCCCCTCGAAAAAACATAAATTCCAGCTCTGCGACATCTGCCTTGCTGAAATCTTTCTTCCGGATGTTGCCGCTAGCCTCTTTCAGGTATATCTCTATCGCATAGGTCGCATCGTCGCCGCTGCCTATAATGGGGATGCTGCAAAAGGGAAGGTGGTTGTTGTTACTCCCTCGGTTTATATTATAATTCGTTTGGATTAGTTAAGTTTGACTAAATTTATAGTAAAATTTAATAATATATATCTAATATATGAAATTAGTATTATTAAATCTAGCATTGAATATAGTTTGATAATATGTTTGTTTTATGTTAAAAAAATACTACTATATTTTTCTATAAATTTGATTAAAACTAAAGAAGATTGACTAGGGAAAAAGTCAAATGACTTATAATACGAAATGGAGGGAGTATCGTTGTTGTTGTTGTTGTTGTTGTTGTTAAAAATCACACAAGCATGAACACTTGGCACTTATTTTGACATTTTAAAAGAATCAGAGAGTAATGTAACTCACTTTAGGCGTACACAAGGACGATTCCCGTATTCCTTAATCACTTGCCGCCATTCAGAAGTGCTCCCAAACTCCCGGAATGTTGTCTTAGCTATTTCATCACAAAATTCTAGAACTTGTCTGAGATTCTCAGGGATGTCAACCACTATGCTCAACTTTGGTCGACCTTCACTGTTTTGATTCAGAGAAACTTCATAATGGACCCTCAAACCTATGCAATGAAGTTGTAGCGGATCATCGTTGTGCTTGATACATAAGCTCCGTTCAAATTCGTATGGAAGAGGATTGGTGCGGAGGCCGGAATTTAGACTTCTTTTGCCCAAACAAGAGGAAAAAGAAATAGAAACTTGGATGAACTCAAGTGAAATATCATTTGGGTTGAGGAAACCGCCGCTTAGCAGTTCTGGAAAATGCCTCAACCCACCGCTTAGCAGTTTTGGAAAATTATCCTCCTGCAAAAGAATTTCATGGTTTAGCCAATAAATTATACTATCAAATAGGAGTATAATCAGGTCAGATATGATCGGATAGCACTCTTTTTTGACCTATCTTGTATTTTCTTCAGAGTCAAAACCAAGCATTGATTTACTTATCCCGGTTTTTTCCCTCGGAATTGGATCCAAGAACAGATTTTTATCTCTAGTACTAAGATATTAAGCCTAGGGACAATTAGAGAACCTGATTAGTTGGGCCTTTCAACTGTTGAATGGGGATGGATCTAGCGATTCATTTGCGAGTTCATAAATAAGGACTATTTATATCTTTTATCATGTTCATAAGTGGAGTCATAATAGATTTTGGTGTATGTTTAATAGTACGGCTACAACTCATCACATACCCTATCCTATTTTTCTCCTAGGTTCAAATTCTGATGGATAATGGCAAGTATTCATTTCACTCTCCAGTACTAGTCTCATAAGCCTCGGGTCAGTCAGGATAGCGGGTAATACACGTCCCGTTTACACACCTACTATCAGACAGTGAGACACATTAATGAATTCTACAAACAATATATCATAACCAAATGATGATTGATTGGCTCTCCTCCATCTCTCTACACAGTAGCATTTCTAGGCAATTCAAAGTTGCTACTACGAATTACAGAAATTTAAATATTCTTAATTTCGATAATAGATTTCTATGAATTACCCCACAATTCGAAGTTGGATTGTTGACATATCATGCTATGCAATCACTAGTTCTCACTCTGCTGCATCAGATGCCCAATGCGTGGAAAAAAAATGATAGAAACAAGTAGTTGTTTCAGACTTTCAGTCAAAGAAGCATTGCTTGAACAATGTTGTTTTCCAGATCATATGAAGTTAATAGGAACAGAAAAACAGGAGGTAGGTAATCCAAACACACCAGGAACAGCACTGTAGAACAACACTTGAGAACATCAAGATTCATCCTGACATCATACAGACTCCTGCAAATTATTGAGCAGATTATTGTCATAGATTAAACTTAACGAATAGCTTAAAAACAAGGGTCTAAACAATGTAGCAGGAGAAACTTTATTAGGAAAGCACATCTTTTGAAGAATGTAGAAAATAATTTGTTTCAATGATCCAATGAATAATCTGATGAAAAGAACATGGCTTAAATTGCAAAGCAAATTAGTGGAAGATCATTTACTCTATTAATTTTAGGATATATACTTAAAACTGAATAAAAGAAGGTGAAATAACGATTCCTAATCTACTTCTCTAATTGACAATAAATACTGAGTACTTGGAGAAGTGCGTATGTGCCAATGAAACTAAACAAAACAATTTGAACATGATATGTACTGAAGTGGGATCATGAGGAAGTTAATCATTACTTTTGATTCGTATTATGTTTGGTAGCAGGAGTAAATGTTGATGGGCGATATATATATTCAAAAAACAGTGATTGTTTCCACCACACCTCTTTAGAAAGATTCTTGTTAGAATTTTAAAATTTTGACCAAATATTGTCATAAATATCAAATATTTATGATTGAAGGTAATATTAATAGAAACTGCTCAGCGGGCTAGGTAACCAGTAATGAAATAATCACTTAATAAATGTCAAGCTAAGTTACCAACATGATGCCTTGGGTATATGTGTTTTCAATTCAAATAGGAAAGGATAAGAAAAATCCAAAGTTGAGAAAGGACGCATTTGGAATTCAGATGCAATGAATATAAATTTTGGATTTTACACTCTATATAATATACCTGTGAATTTGCGGCCCTAGATTAAAGTAATCTGCCAAATTTGCCATCTGCAGAAATCAGCCATATTCATTCAAATGACAAGAAGGATCATGTATATCCATGAGAACATTCAACGAAGGTCTGGATTCTTTAGCATGCAAATCTTGGTTTTCTTTAGGGAAATTTATAAAAACCACCTCATAAGTTACTTGAAGTTTGATATTTCACCATATAAGTTATTTTATTACAAATACCTACCCAGCTACTCAATTTTATTGAAAAACCTCCCCAGTGAACGTATGTCTAACCGAATCAACATGTTTTAATAAATTATGAGCCGTCAATGTAATCTTTACCAAACTTAGATACACGTAGAATATAGTTTTGATAAAATAATTTTTGAAGATTCCACAAATAGAAATGCTGATGAGAGCTTAGATGTTGTTACACTGTGTTTTGCTATATAAAGAAAGTTCAATGAAACATGAAGGATAAATCTAATGCAAGCACTTGAATAAAATTGACTCGGGTAGCTTAACATCATGTGGTAGCTCTAGGGTGATTTAATTAAGCATGTGCGCACTAGGGTGATTTTTACAACAAAACAGAGCATGGAGTGGATATTTGTGACAAAATAACTTATCAAACTTCAAGTGATTTATGGGATGGTTTTTGTAGTTTTTCCTATCTTTTATGGTACATCTATAACTAAGACTCGGTTTGTGGTTGTTGTGTTGGTGTTAAGCTGTGCTCATTTTTAAAATTGCTCTAAAAATTTGAACATATAATTTTGGTCGTTTGGTTTATAGATTGAATTATGATTATATATATTATCCAACTTTCACGTCTCTTCCAATTGTTTCGTATTTTCATACCATAATAATATTGACAAGATTATAAGAAAATCAGTTTAGCAAACACCAAAATGTCTAAAAGTTGTTGCAGCAAACGAGTTTATGATCAGGATCCATATGCCGCAATGTCAAACTGAACCTAAAGCATTCTTAGTTTGAAATTGTAAGTGATTTTATGCAAACAACAAGGTCACCTTCATGTTCCCTGCTCTCCTCCCAAACGTCTGGGTAAGCAGAGGTAAGGTGTCGATCATCCCCTTTGGTTCCGGAGGCGACCGTCCAATTTCAGCGAATGCTTCCCTTATTATCTCTGAGTCAAACGAAATGATGTTGTGACCAGCCCAGATTCGCCCTGTCCAGAATTAACAACGTTAGAGAGCACTACGAAAAGGGCTAAAATAAAGTAGTTTTATTAAAAAAATAAATCTTTACAGTGGTAAAAAAATGACCATTATAGAACACTAAAATGGATATTGTACATTCGTCTAGCGTTGATGAATTGAAGCTAGGTTTGACATGTAACTATCATGCCACTCAAGTGCTAATTAAATCTTATTCTTCTTCTCTGGTTTGTTGGCATGGATGATATTGTGCTTGTATTGTAAAAAGTGGCTCTGATTGAAATTGAAAACGGAGTTAAAGTAGTGACTGTTGATGTATTAGAATTGAGATAACCGTTGAGTCATGCAGCATAGTAAGTTGGAGTTGGAAAGAAACATTTTTTTTTTATTTAGTTGGCATTGAACCATGTGCATGTATCGAATTTTAGATAATAAAAGCTTTTATTCAAACTCACCCAACAATGTACATGCTTGGAACGTGCTTGCTAGTATATTGCTGCAGTAGTAAACTACATATTTCCTTGAGAGAAAAGAAAATGGAAAGGGAAAGAAAATGGATTCCTCATTCCTGAAAGTCAAGGAAGGAGACATGTCAAGAAATACAACGACAAGAACCCCCTCCCCTCACCGTGCAGGACGTTGTGGATGTTATCAGCGACGTCACAGAAGGGCGGGGCGTCTTCGAGGGCGCCACGCGTGATGCCCTTACGTTCGAGCGCCTCCGTGACCACCCCAAGGTCGGAGGGGCGCACGAGCGTGACGAAGGGCTCCGCGACCTCAACCAGCCGCGGGCAGAGGAAGATGGACCCGAACTCGAGTAGCGTGCGCCTCTCCCTAGGACCCCATGGCATGGAGGTCTCCACGTCAAAGAAGGCGATCTCTGGCTCCTCCTCGACCATCGCCCTACTACTCCCCTCACCCTCCTCCATGGACATATATGCCATCGTCTTCGCCAACATTTGTGTGTTGTGGCTAGCTCAAGCGATATGATGGATCGTGGTGCACATATAAATAGGGAGGGGAGGAGAGGGGATGGGGCTTTGTGGGGGTTGGCAATTTGCTTACGGGGTAAGGAAAGCTGGTGACGTCAAGTCATGAACAACAGAGTATCTCCATGCTTATTATAAATATTTGATGCTTATGATATATTTTGGTCAAACTTTTAAAATTCTGATTGAAGTTTACCTCTAGCAAAATCAATCAAAGACACCACAGTCCACATATATATACAAATATGTCTGTGCTTTCAAAATTCTGTAGGATATATTTTATAGCATAGGCCATCTTATTTCTAGTGATTTTTTTTTTCTTATTCTTGTGTTTTCAAAATCCTGATTTCCAATATAGCTAGGATTAGTATTAGTATGCTGCCCCCTTTCACTATGACGAAAAGCAAGTTCGTTAGTCAGCAACACAAAGTAGATGCACACACATTATATTGCTTGCTTTTCGTCAGAGGAAAAGATGATCTTGCCAACAAGATTATCTTCTGCAACTTTAGTTTCCATGGAGGACGTGGGCAACTTGCATAGGCATCGCCTTATCCGGCTCCGAAAGGACGGCGGCCAGTGGCAACAAATAAACAAAGAGGATACATATGCATATGAACCATCATTTTATTTATCGGATTTTGTTTTACCGAATCGAGGAGCACCAATTTCATTGAATAGAGTAGGATAAACAATAAAAAAATAAACAATCAGACAAAAAAAAGGCCAATTTTATTTATCGGATTATTCAAACAAATTATTTGCTCTATGCTTTTTAAAAACCACGTGTTCTCAAGGAAAAAAAAAACTCTACTGCATTGTTCAGATCTATTTGTGGAGTTTATTTTTAAAAAATATTTACTACTAGTTTTCAAATCAAAATCTTCGGTAATAATCAAACAGGACCTTTGACAGCAGCTCAAGATCGACTCCATATCTAGTGACAATGCAACTTTGTCCATTCTTGCATACCGTGTATATATTTTTTAGTTGAGCTTAATGTTCAAGTTCAATCCTCTCAGCTCACATCAGTGTGTGTTATATAATCAATTGGAGGAATTAGCTGTTGGGTTCTGAGAGTCCAGTGTTGTGTTGTGACTTGTGATAGAAGCTGCATGCAGTGATGCTGTGCCTAGGTTGTTTGCATTGTCTGCTTCTTCCCACTCACTCAAAGTTCACTTTTCGAAAAGTTTGGTAATATAACGTTAGTACGCTGCTAGCGTGGTTTCGCACATTGTAAAGCTAAAGTCCTTGGAGGTGGTTTTCTTCGTCCTTGAATACTATAAAAGCAGGAGTATTGTATTTGTCTTGCTTGATAAATACTCTTCCGTACTAAAAATAACTCAATCCTAAGTTTGAATATGAGCATATCTAATCGAATTAAATTTGAAAATATATTGTTAATTCGTTTGTTTCTCACAAATATTCGGAATGTAAATTTGTTAGCAGAAATATACCGTCAATCTCGCACAATCATTCCGCGAAAGTGACGTAGGAGTGACGTCGCGAACAAGCGCGAGACCCTAGGGTGTCGTATGATGATAACACAAGAACGCGCGGTCTCGCACTACAAAACAGTGATACCGAACGATGAAATCGAAGACGTACGCGGAGGCGGTGTCAGACCACGCGGTCTCGCGCGGCCAAACCACGAGACCGACCAGTCTCGCTCAATCAGTGAGCGATAGCGACTGCCTCTGCCGATTGAATATTGTTAATTAGGGATTAATTAATCACTAATTATTAATTAATTAATCATTAATTAGGGTAATTAATGACTAATTTAAGCAGCTCCACTGGACAAGACGTTCAGTCTCGCTGATTCCTTATGCGAGACCGTTCGGTCTCGCGGCTTCATCACACGATACCACGCCACGCGGTGTTGTGCTCTCACCACGCGACACTGCGTGCATCGTCACGCTCGCATCATTTTCGCGCAACGGTTGTGTGAGATCGACGGTATATTTTCGCTAAAAAATGCACATCACAAATATTTCTGAGAAAAAACCAAATCAATAATATATTTTTAAATTTAATTCTATCTAATCTAGGTTTAAATTTAGACATACACTTTATCTAGATTTAAACTTGAGTTTTTTTTAAGGACAGTGGGAGCAGATGAAAAGGGGTGGCATATGCCTACCTTTGTTGCTTTCCAGCCATATCTTCAACCATCCATGTCATCCATTCATCAATTAATCATCCGATTGTTGTACCATAGCAGCATATATAGCTAGAGAGGGGCTTGCATCGCGAGACTCATCAAACAGATAGAAATTCCATTATCTAAAAAAAATATCCATCGAATATATAGAAATTTTACGATTGGCGTCCAGTACACAACTCTACAGCTAGCTTCAAATTATGGATGAAAATGGTCAGAAAAATGCTCAAACTATTTCCACAACCATATTGTTTTATTGGGAATAGAATCGAAATAGTAGAACATTCAAAACGAAAATGGTAGCGGAATGAAACTATCCATAGAACCTTAGAAACAAACGTTTCTCAATGGCACCAGCTAAGCCCAAAAAATAAACACCCTCTAATCTAGGACGGAGGGAGTACTAGAAGTAATTAATTTTTTTTAACAATGCATCTTTATACCCGACATATTAAAAAAGCAAAAATCTTTACAGAAAATACCGTGCCAAAAAAATATACTTTTACTCAGTTCTGGTAAGGAGGATTCAGGTGGTGAAGGGAACTGGTTGCTGCCCTACGTTTCACGTGGAAAGAGTCCAATTTGACCCCCTTAGCTGTAGGTTGAATCTGATTTATATGCCCATACATATCTAAAAATCAGGTATTCGACCCATTCAATCAATAAAACTGGTGTAAAATGACTTCCTCGATGGTATGGCGCGTTGACTTGTGGTTTTCATTGATGTGACATGTTGACCTTGGTCAAACCAACTACGTGGTGCTTACGTGGCACTGGAAGAAAAAGATTAAAAAAAGTGAAAATATAATGGAACCCATATATCAATAGGTATCTTTGCTTTCTTCCTCTCTAGCTGCCATCTTCCTCCTAGCAAGCGGTGAGCCGAGCTTGAGGTAGAGAGAGAGGAGAGAATAGGTAGAGAAAGAGAGGAGCGCAGACTCTGGAGTCTAAGACAGTGGTGGTTGCTTGTCATCATTGTCGTGGTGGCGTCTTTACGACAACTTGCTCAACTGGTAAGGGTGATGGTGCCGAGCTTGACAAGGCTAATGAGAGCGCGAGATCTAGTGGTTGCCCACTAGGCCTGTCAAAAAAGCTTGAGGCTTGTGAGCTGCTCGACCTTGGTTTGTCTCAAATTTGATATGAGCTCAACTCAAGCTCTTAATGAGCCGAGCCTAAGCCCAACCCCAAGCTCGTGAGCTTTGTTGAGCCAAGATTGAGCTTCTCACGAGTCAGATGTATGTTTAATTTTTATGTCTTATGTAACAAGTGAGTAGGTTAAGGATAAATTAGTATAGATTTATGTAAAAAATTAGTGTATTTTGGTATTAGTCGTATGTTCTCCTAACCTTTTATTTAATATTGTTATCTTAAAATTATTGTTCTACATAAAAAATTATCCTCAAAATATACATTATCATATACTCGGTCGAACTCGCAAACCTCACCGAGTTTGAGTCGAGCCTGCTTAAAAACTCAAAGGCGGATTAGGCTTGGCTTGAGCTTGTGTCGAGGTTGAGCCTATACAGGCAGGCTTGCTCAAGCTCGGCTCGTTGACAGCTCTAGTTGCCACATTCGCCTATATATGTTGCCTTTGAGAGCAGCGAAATTTGGATGTTGGCATCCTCGGACAGCGATGCGGTCTACTAGGTTAGACGCCCTGACTTGAAGACCACCGGCCCAAGCATGTCGTCGTTCATGTCGTCTGCCGCCACGAGAATGACAATGGGATCCAACTCTGCCACCGCCTACCTCGTCTCCGCTGCCACAAACCTTGCCTCCACTAGGAAACTAAGGGTGGTACCATTGCATGTGTAGGCTATCAACAAGCTGCCATTAGGGAGAAGGGAGAGGGGGCGGAGGCAGGTGGCCCTTCGCCGGACTGGATCTCTAGCAACAGGGCTAGCATTGTCAGTGACCTCCATGTTGTGGGAGCCGAAGTACACCACCGCTATAGAGCACGGCCTGCTGAAAGTGGAACTCGAAGCCGGATCACCTCCTCCTAGCTACTTCCTCAACATAGCGATAAGCGTGAACTTGTGCCTTTGCCTGGTTACTTCCTACCGTTCTTGGTCACCGCCTCTCCCACTGATGAGGTCGCCGCCGTCTCCAACTCCTCTTCTGCTAGGTGCCACCCCTAGTCCCACCAGTCTCCACCTTAACCACCGGAAGATAAAGAGAGATGATGAAATAGAGGGAGAGAGAAGGAAAAGGAATAATCAGTTTCTAACCTATGGGTCCCATATATTTTTTATATTTTATATATTTTGTTAATTATAATGCCACGTAGATGCCACATCAATGAAGACCTGGTCAATGCCACACTTAGATAACACATCAGCAAAAACCATTGTCAATAATAGCGATGGAGCCATTTTAATTTGCACTGGTTTTATTAATTGGATGGGTTAAAATAGCCGATTTTGCGGTTGTGGTATACTAATCAGATTAGGCGTTAGTTGAGGGAGTCAAATTGAACGTTTTTGGTTTCAAAAAGTTGGCATATGGTAATGTGCTGACCAACGAGTGGGCTAAAAGTAGCCCAATGGCCTAGATTAACTTGGGCCTCATTTGTCAATATGCCCTACCCGAAGTCGGGGTGCAAAAAAAAAGAAAAAATCGGGGCGCAGAATTTGGGCCTCCCGATCGTCCGATTCAGATCCAATGGCTCAAAATCTCGGAGAGAAAAAGGAGGATGAGAAGAAAACCACTTGCCCCCGCGCAGCTGAACCGCGCTCTCCCCCATGCCGGTGTGCGCCGCCGCCGCGCCATGCCGTGCCGTGTCAACGCCGCCCGCGCACGCCAGCTCGAAACCACACGCCGCGGCCGCCGCTGGATTCGCCGCGACCCTCCTCCAAAACCAGCAGATCGAGCACCACCGCGCCATAAGAGCAGCGACGCCCCCCCGCCTCTTCTTCCTCGTCTCGATCCAAGAAGCAGAGAGGAGAGGGATTCTTGTTTTCTTGATCATCCATGGCGCGGCTGCGGCGTGGTCTCGAACACCTGGAGCGGCGGTACGCGTTCTACGCGGCGTACCACTCCAACCCGGCGAACGTGCTCGTCCACGCCGTGTGCGTGTGGCCCATCCTCCTCACCGCGATGCTCCCGCTCCGGTACGCGCCGCCGCTGCCGCTGCTCCGATTCTACTGCCCGCTCTGCCGCCAGTACCTCCCCGTGCAGCTCGGCTTCCCCGTCGCCGTCGCGCTGGGCGCGTACTACGCGCTCATGGACCGCCGCGCGGGCGCCGCCGCCGCGGCGCTCTGCGTCGCCGGGTGGGCCGCCGGGACGCTCCTCGCCGACGCCGCGGGGCTCTGGACGTTCCGCGACGCGTGGAGGCCGCTGCTCACCGCGCAGGCCGTGCTCTGGTCCGCCCAGTTCTTCTCCCACGCCTTCTTCGAGGTAACCTCTCGTCGCCTCGCCTCGCCGCCGCCGCCGCGACGGCGCGCCGCCCATCTTTGCGTGTTTTTGTTGCATTGTGCCGATCTTATGGTGAGGTGATTGCAGAAGCGGCGGCCGGCGCTGGTGGATGGCCCGGTGCAGGCGGTGGTGACGGCGCCGCTGTTCGTCTTCATCGAGGTAATTGGCCGTGTTCGTTCGAGTTGGTCGCCGTGCGGCGATGGCGACCGCCAAGTGTTCGATTTAATGCGAGTGCGGTTGCTCCGTGTTTTTGCAGGTGCTGCATAGGTTGTTCGGGTACGAGCCGACGCCGGGGTTCTACAAGCGCGTCCAGGCGAGGGTGGCGGCGATGCACAACGGGCCGCCGGCACCGGCGCCGGCGCCGGAGAAGAAGGAGGAGGAGGAGAAGGAGAACGTGAGCAAGGCGACGCAGGAGGAGAGCGCCGAGAAGGATTCGTAGGTGTTTTCGAGGGAGAGTGTGACAGACAGGAGAGGCAGAGCTCGGGATGTTATGAACTTGTAATAGCTTGTTCATGTATAGTAGTAGTATAATAATAATACTAAGAAAATAAATGAGTTTAATTTTCATCTTGAGTCAGTTTTTATGTACAACTAGCTAGCAAAAACATTCAGTGACCTAATAATTCGGCAATCATGCACTAAACAGTGCATTAGTATCTACTTCCTATGTCGAAAAAAGATAGAAATTTTACACTACCTAAAACAACAAATCTAAATAATTTGTACAAACTTATTATACTAGGTGAAGCTAAATCTTTGTCTAGATTGTTTTATTTATTTTTTTTTGACGGTAGGAGTGGGAGACTGGGAGTACACCATCTTTCAACAACCAACACAGCCCACACGGCTCGCTCTGAATACTACTCCATAACTGTCTTGCCGGTTTCTGCGGAAAATGAAGAAACTCGGACAAATTTTATCAAAAAAATTTCAAAATTTTGGAACCTATTCATCAAGCTGTTTTTGTTCCTTTTTTTTTAACACGGGTTCATCAAGCTGTTTGTTAACTTGAACCGCGTAGTAAAATGACCATCCTGTCGGTCTAGTCCCCCAGCTCATCCTGGCCGTCCGATCAATAATACTGAGCCCAGCTGCCCAAGACCTCGAATCGCGCCCTTCTCTTGTCTTGTGAATCTGTGAGAACCCCGCATCCATGGCGGCGGCGGCGGCGGCCTCCTCGGGCTGGCTCCGGCGAGCGGCGGGGACAGTCCCGCGCATTCCATGCGGACTCGTGACCGCACTCGTCCCGACCCCTCCTCCACCCGCTGCTGCGGTGGTGTCCGAGGCCCCCGCGCTCGCGCTCCCTTCCCACGCCGCCGTCGCCATGGAGCTCATGGCTGTTCCCAAGAAGAAGGTTAATTACCTCTGCCCTCCCATTTCAATGGTGTGATCTTTATTTTTTCTGTTGGACTGTGGTTTTTTTACATCGCCATTGGTGTTCGTTTAATCTGCAGTAGTATGGCGTGCGCGCACCAGGTGTTTGACGAATTGCTTGTGCCTTCTAAGGACCGAAGTCCTGTCTATTTTTCTTTTTTGATAGTTACATTATGCCCTCCGATTGTTTGGAGTGACAGAGGGAGACAGTAGGGACATGGAGAACATCCTAAGCTTTAAGTTGTACTAGCTCATTCACTTTGAGCATGCGTTTTGGTTTCTTGTCCTCAAATCTCGCTGGGGCAATCTGTTTGCAGAAAGGTATCTAACGCGGATTGTGCGAACCTATTCGTGCTGTTTTGGCCAAAAATTTGTGTCCATTTTAATCTGTTGATTGAGCCGTGAACGCATTCTGCAAGCAGTATTCTTAGTCTTTCTCGGTGGCCACTAGCCTTTACTGATGGATATGCTGCACTTAATCTGATGCCTTACAGGTTTCAAAGTATAAGAAGGGCCTGAGGAATGGGCCAAAAGCCCTGAAGCCTGTTCCTGTAATTGTCCGCTGCAAGTAAGTCTTTTTGCATTGCATTTCTTTAACCTTTGCTCTTACTTTTGTTGTTTCATTGCATATTCCGAAGGGCTAATATGTATGGTACCATTGCAAAAATCACGTAGTTGGAAAACATACAAAGTTAATAATCTGTAGATTTTTTCTTGGTTTGTTCTACTGCTTTTCACTTGCGATTCATGGCATCCTATGCTCTTTGACCATCTTTTTGAGATAACGGGATGTTTTTTGACCATCTGCTCATGTATATATATATGTTGGCTCTTCTTTTTTGTTTTCTCAATGTACTCATTTTTTAGTTTTCTAGTTATCATTCATATGCAAATATGATCTATGGAATGTAATTAATGCAGCATATCCCTTGATACATCTATAATCATAAGTCCGATTTCACAAACAAGTGAAGCATTATCCTACTGAGATTACTCAGTCAACTGCAGGAAACTCTTATTACCGCCGATTCATTGTTTTATATGAAGTTGGTCTTTTTGTATGTTACCACGGAACATGATATGGAGACAGCCTATTCCTATTCGGTTTCGATTTGTTATTTTGGTGCATTACTCTTTAGCTTTAACAACATGTAAGTAGAAATGTTTCATTCTGTCATTGACAAGGCGCATCTTGGGAACAGCATCACCAAACTACATGTCTAGCATTTGCATCATACAGTGTGTGCGCGCCAGATAGCGAACTGTTTTTTCTCCCCACTTTTTCAACTTGACACCTGGTATTGTCCTGAGGCAGGCTTGGCTAACTATCTGTGGCGTGTTATGCTCTGCAGGTGCTGCGGTCGGGTGAAGCTGCCACACTTCTACTGTTGCAGCGGCGAAAGAGGGAACCCTGGATCTGAGAGCTCGTAATATAGCCTTCAAGACTCTGAAGTCGAGAGTTCATAGCGGATGCAGAGAGGGGGAAAAACACCAGGACCCCATTCCAGTAAAATCAGTCAAGACTCCACTACCTGTCTCCTGAAATCAAAGCCATTTCTTCATCTATGTGAGTCCTGAATCAGTGTTTAACTTTTGACTGCTTTTGTCATTGGGTAATAATAAGCGCTGGAAGTCTTAGCTGATATCATGGTTGACAAAAAAGAAAAAAAAATATGCATATTGCTAGTACCTCCTTATTGTTTGTCTGGTGAATGTGGCCGTGTTTGTTTGATTCTAGAGATTCACCGATCAAGAGCAGTGAACTTGTGATAATGATACCAGCAGCGGCGGAGCCATAAATTTCTTGTGCCTAGGGCTCAATTAATTTTATTTTCATATGGTTGTCTTTCTTTTCTTCTAATATTTCAATAGAGATTTAAGGTCAAGAGTAGGACTCTAATGATCTAGTCCTAGCTGTCTTACTCCTGGATCGATACCAGCCTTGCTGCTTTGTCCTGGTGATAAACAAGAATATTTTCTGTCCAGCTGCCAATTAAAGAGAAACGTTGGCACTAGTATCAGAGCTTGAGCCATCCCCATCGTCGTTTTTCTGAATGAACGGTCCGGATCAGCCGGACAGTGGACAGCGGTGACTGGTTGGCCGGCGGCGATGAAGATGGTGATGATGCTTAAAGCTATCCAGGAATCTACGGCGATGAAGAAAATGGGGGAAAAGGCAGCGTGATGCGTGAATTGAAAGCAAGGTATGTATGCAGTGCAGTCCAACTGTCCGGCTAGGGCACGGCAGAATTTCTCGAGGAGCACTGCTACATGCTCTAAATTTTTCAAAGTAAATTTGTACTAATAATCATCTTAACTATTTCATATTAAGATTTCATGTAGGTAGATAGAAGTTATAAAAAATTTAGATACACTCATAGCATGATATGTCAGTATTAGTAAGAATTTAGTATGAAAAAGTTAGTATACATGGACTTTTCCTTTCTGGAGTAGCCGCGGCAAATTAAATAGCTGTAAAAATGTTGAAGCGTAGTCGTCCCCTTTCGCGGTACAGCATGAGAAATTGAAATTGAAGAAACCGCTAGATTACATCTCCAACCGCTAGATTAGTCATATGGGTCGTGTAGCCCATCTTCTATTATATGGGTCGATGCACGATATATTAAGGAGGCTTAACGTTTTCTCTTAATTCTACCACAAAAAGAAAGGAGAAAATTGCAATATTAGGACTGCAAATATTGGGGCTTCGCTGTTTTGACACTCCGAGTGGATGACAAATGGACCTGTCTGCGTCTACGAAATAGCAACCATGAATGGCACGTTTCCCTACTGTTCTAAATAATAGCAAAGGTTAATGTTTGTGGTGTCATTATTGCAAATCTACCAACAAAAAGAGGTATTCTTTCATTATCTGCTGTAGGGTCAAATAAACCATTAGATTTCTGCAAGCAGGGGCGGATCCAACGTGGGTGCAGGGGGACTCGAGTCCCCTCTACACCCACAAGACCTATGGATACCCCCTAAAGCACCCCCTTTAATTTTCTCACCATAAATGATAAACTAAAGGTCCCTAAATGGCTGGAGGTTGAAGAAACTGTGTAATTGAGGCCCCCCCCAAATTTTTTTTTGTTCCTAGATCCGCCCCGGTCTGCAAGGTAACCCTAGTATATGTGAAAACTAACTTACCAATATTAGAGGTACTTTAAAACTTTCCCTAAAAAAAAGAAGAGGTACTTTAAAACGCATGATAGTTGCCTTAACTTCCATGAAATTCCTTTAATTAAACATCACCTGTCGATCATTCTCCGATCATACGTGGTACTCGAGTGATTAGCCTTAGTGATTGCACTTATCATTGACGGTCCTGCGGTAATCAAGAATAAAATAGCCTATCAGTAGTTGGCACGGGGAATCTTCGAAAGGAAATCCAAAACAAAAAACAAAGAAAAGATGACAAAACGAGACCAAACGCGGGATCAACATCACCACAGTCCAGTCAAATTCAAATCCAGCCTGTCAGCGAACGCAGCCACTGACATCGCGGGGCCCCACATATAACCAGCGGGCGGGGGGTCACCGCTTTTGAACCGTCAGCGTTGCCGCATTCGCACCGTCTCCGCCTTCATGGCCTGTTTATTTCCCGCACTAAAATTTTTCATCCCACATGAAGTATTTAAATATAGACTAAAAAGTAACTAATTATACAGATTGCGACTAATTTATGAGACGAATCTTTTAAGTCTAATTGTTTCATGATTTAACAATGGATTAATTAGACTTAATAAATCCATCTCGCGGTTTACTAACAAATTATATAATTAGTTTTTTTATTAGTGTCCGAACACTTCATATGACATACTATATAAATATAATAACCAATGTGGTACGCCAAAATTTTACGCCACAAATCTAAACACCCCCTGAGTTTGACGCCTATAAATAATAAATTCCAATTTCCAAACCCAAACCAAACCAACCCAGGCAGTCCACGCGCTAGTGTGAAACCGCCACCGCCAACCCAAACCAAACAAAGCCGCGCCGCCGATCTCGCCATGGCGCAGCAGCAGCCGCGGCGAGTTCTCCGCGTGGCGCCGCCGGGGCGAGGAGGGGCGCGCGCGGAGGCGGAGCGGGGGGAGGAGGGGGAGGCGGTGTTCGCGACGGTGCAGGCGGCGGTGGACGCGGTGCCGGTGGGGAACAGGGTGCGGACGGTGATCCGCCTCGCGCCGGGGACGTACAGGGAGCCCGTCTACGTCGCCAAGGCCAAGAACCTCGTCACCCTCTCCGGCGAGGCCGGCTCGCCCGAGGCCACCGTCATCACCTGGGACAACACCGCCACCCGCATCAAGCACTCCCAGGTTAGTACGCTCGCCTCCTGCTCGATGAAATGCCAAACTCGGAGATGGCCTTGAACAATTTTAGTGATTCTCTTCCCGATTATTGACAGGTCCCGAGAAATTGTTGGTGTATGTAGCATGCGTTGCGTAAATTATTTGGAGAGCTTTTAGAATGGTTTGTTTGTTTGATTCGTTCATCCCGTCATTGGCTATAGCTAGGATGGTGAGGCACTGACGCATTAAGAAATGTCTGGTGTGCGTTTTATTTATGTATATCCCTGTGTACTGAGCACACTGGTTTCGGATGACACCCCCATATCGATCCATTTGGAGTATGTTAATATGAATGGATAGGTGGTTTGAGCAAATTGTATGTTAAATTATTGTACCTCTGTAGTTTATTATGTGTTTATGAGGAAGGGGTAGGTGCAGAGAACTTCCAACTGAGGTTTACAAGACTTCTTCTCCAAAAGCAATGAAAGGAACTTTACATTTGAGCTTGTTAGAAAAACATTTGACGTTTTAGTAGACGAGTCCGTAACTGCCCCCTAATTTTGACTGCAGATGTTAAGTGCTGTGTACTTTGAATAGTTATGCTTATCTTTTTAATTTAATCATTCTGTCCTTTTCTCTTGTAAAGTCGTCCAGGGTTATTGGGACAGGAACGTTTGGATGCGGAACAATTATTGTGGAGGGGGAGGATTTCATCGCAGAGAATATCACATTTGAGAACTCAGCTCCTCAGGTGCTTGTCTTTGCCTTGTTCTTTTTTCTTTTGACCAAACTTGTTCTTCTTGCATAGAGAGATGCATGTGTGATGAGTGGGTGCAGAAAGCTGATGTGCCTGTTGTGGTGTAGGGGTCTGGGCAGGCAGTTGCTCTCCGAGTAACAGCAGATAGGTGTGCCTTCTACAATTGCAGGTTCCTTGGTTGGCAAGTACGCTCATTTATTCACCTCTTCATTAAATCGTTTCATTCAGCGAAGCTTTTGTTAATTTATGAGGTTGTCGAATAAAACATTCAGGACACATTATATTTACATTATGGAAAACAATACTTAAGGGACTGTTACATCGAAGGTAACTGTGACTTCATCTTCGGCAACTCTATTGCCCTGTTGGAACATTGCCATATTCATTGCAAATCAGCGGGTTACATTACTGCTCACAGCCGGAAATCCTCATCAGAAACTACTGGTTATGTGTTCTTGAGGTGAGTTGTTTCATTGTATGTTTACTTAGTCCGTTAGGCCATGCTGTTCATGGCTGAAATTTGAGTTTCTCATTGCTTGTGTAATAAGATTGACATGTAAGCTTGATCATTTTCAATGTGCCTTTCTTGCTTTTGCTTGATGTGATGCTTGGACGGATGAACACATGCAGGTGTATTATTACTGGAAATGGAGAAGCTGGATATATGTTCCTGGGTCGGCCTTGGGGACCGTTTGGAAGGGTTGTCTTTGCGCACACTTTTATGGATCGTTGTATTAAGCCTGCTGGGTGGCATAATTGGGACAGATCTGAGAATGAACGAACTGCTTGCTTCTTTGAGTACAGGTATTGGAACCATCAGTATTCAGAGATTCTTCTCTTACTAAACTTCCATATTATCTGTGGACTTGTGCTTATCGATCATTCATGAGCTACTAGAAGGCATTAACCCTTTTTTTTTTACGCAGGTGCTCAGGGCCAGGTTTCCGCCCATCAAACCGAGTGGCTTGGTGTAGACAATTGCTTGATGTTGAAGTGGAGAATTTCCTTTCTCACTCTTTCATTGATCCAGACCTTGATAGGCCTTGGCTCATCCAGATGATGGCAATAAAAGTACCAGTCTCAGCATAGTCTAATCCCAGGATTGTAGTTCATCCCTCCTCCCTAGTCTATCTTATAAATAATTTTGGAGGGTGTATTATAAGTGTAACATTTGGTCAACTTGTGCCCACGCAATTGTATTGAGGAGAGATATTTGTTGTTTTCCATGAGCCTTGTCCCTTGAGGACTATAAAGGAATACGAAATTAAATTATTTGCTCTTTCATTGACGTGATATTGTTCATGCTGCTATGAGTCATGCGGCCTTTCTATACTATGGGAATGTGTTAACATAGAGGAAATGGCATGGTCCGTCAGGTTTTAACATTTATTGTGGTACTTTGAAATGGGACATGTGGAATAATACTAGCTTTAGTACATAGTAGAAATGCCATTTTCCACCAAATTTTTACTGATACATGTTGCTTCCTGTCTACAGATCACTTTTGAATGCAGTTCATCTAGAACAAACACAGACTGAACAAGTTCGAAAAAATTGTACCAATATTTGACTGAACAATTCTGATCAGACTATGAAGGACTGGTTTGATCCAACAATGAGGTACACAAGATCCCTTGTTTTCCCTTTGAATTTGGGCATTTCTAGAGGAATTCTATATGATTTGTACCATTATTTGCAAGATTCATATGAAATTTTTGCATCTCCAGATGGGCCTAAACCTTGAGAAGCAGTACCAAACACGGCAACATCATATTAAAAAGTTGCACTTGCATCTATATTTCTTCCACTCTACTGGGTAAATTTATTACTTATCCATCAGTTTCAGATTCAAAGCTCAGGACTTCCAACTGCACACTCAATTAAATCTGAAAAAGGCCTGATGACATAATTCATGTGGTTTATGTGACTGCACAATTAGGTGCCATCATTTCTTAGGACACATCTTTTCCCCCCGGAAAAAGATGACAACCGCTCGCTAATGAGCTAATCTCTTGGACCTCGATGAAAAGCAAGCTGTCAGAGAACAAGGACCTGATGTTCATGCTTCACCAAACGTCAAGTCCTACTTCAACTTTTGCAAGTCATAACTGATCAGATCATGACATGCATTCACAACTTCACATTTTTCTGAGAACCCATTCACAATTTTACATGCAAAATTCCAAAAAGAACATGACTCACGACTCATGACTGATCAGATTCAGACCCCATGACATGCATTCACAATTTCACATGTCAAATGCATGAAATCAATCAAGAAGAAGAACCTAACATTCTTTTTCTTCTCCTCTCTCTTCTTTTCCCTTTCAATCTTGCAGGAACTGAGAAGGAAGCTACAGGAGCCTAAACCTAGCTAGGGCATGTCATGGCTCAAAAACCACCTAACACCTTGACTGTGGAACATGACCTTGTATGCGAAGCCTCCAAAGATAACTTGCCTACTGTGATAAGCTTGGCAACGATAACTTGTGCCTGGTCTCGGTGCTAGTGATGCTGCAAGTTTTTTTTTTTCACCCTATGTGTGTGTTTTGCCGGTTTTCATTTAATTAACTATGCTGGTGTCAACTCATTTTTCTTATAATATCAAACAGGATCCATGTCCTTCTCGAGGTTTACCCTGGAAAAAAAGGGGATGGCATGGCTGATGGTGTTGGCGTGTTGATCCCAGCCATATCCGCAATCTACTCTGGTGTGTTTACGAAAAAAAAAGCAATCTACTCTGGTATCGATCTCCATCCCCATCTGGTGTGGATATGATATGGAGTTGAAATGGGAGATCCAATTAATCCAGAGCTTGAGGGTATTATTAAGCTCTTTGATATGCAGTGTGGGTGAAAGGATATGGAAGGCAACGTCTCGGCAACGACCAAAACGTCGCCGTTGAAATTTGTGAGCGTCTTGCCTTGAATTTTTTGTACTCTTTCGTTTGGTTGGTGTCATGTACCTGGAGTTTCCTTTTATTTGTTTTTTCTTTTTCTTTAGGGGAAGCCCCTCGGTTCAAAACATTCTGATTGCGACCAGCCAGCAGCAGGGGTTCACGATTTCGGAATAGGAGAGATATTTGGCGGGAGCAGGGGGTGACATTTCGGTGGTTTGACACAAAAGTTTTGGATTTTGAACAAAAGATCGTTGAATTTAAACAAATTTGTTGCTTAGTTAAGACCAATTCAAAAATTTTAGCTAAAGGCACAAGCTGTCAGAGTACCCAGTAGACCTGAAATTTCGGTTTGAAATTATGAACCTTAGCTAAATGGGTTTAAGACTTATTCTAGTTGGCAGCCACAAGATTGCCACGTAAAACTTTTGATGTGATACAATTTGTTAGCCTAGCGGTTAATTGATATAAATATGACACCTCACTGGGACTTGGATTCACGTGTTACACGCAAATATTTTTGTCAAATCATCCCATACATCTGACAAAGCGATGTGTGGGTGTGATAAACGTAGTAGTCAATCAAATAAACCCTTAATTCTGCTTAGGGCGCTTTTTGGAACAAAGAGTTCTTGGGGGAATTTCGAAGGAATTCAATTCTATAGAAATTTTTTCTATGCGGTATTTTGAATCAAATGAATAGCTATCCAAATATCTTATGAAATTTCTTTTAATGGACTCAAAACATGGGAAATTAGGGGGGCTTTTAATATGAGGTCCAACCTCAGGAAAAATATTTCATGTCTTCTTCTGGTTCAGCGTTTGCGCTGTATAGACGGTCATTCCTGCAGTTTTCTTATGCATTTTTGTTTAGACACTTGAATATTTTTTCGAGACACTTCTCTTATGTATTTTTGAATTAGTAGGATTTGGTGGTAGCGCATTTCAATGCTACATATATATTCAAACTATCATTCCTACTGTTTTCTTATGTATTTTTGAATTAATAGAATTTAAGGTGATAGCACACTTCAATATATACTTTTCGTATTCTTGTGTTTTAAAAATCATGTGTTCTAAAAAAACTCTCAACGTGCCATAGGCAGCTGAATGAAACCACCTGAATGAGAGCTCTTCGTTTCTTATTGTCGAGGGTTCTCTCACTACCAGGGAGGAGGGGCGGATTCAGGAACAAAATGTTGGGGTGACTCAATATACCGAGTACACCGGCATAAACACATCATCTCAGTATTAAACACATCATCTCAACATACCAATATGTGGTTTTTTTTAACCTCCAATTATTCAGAGACCTTTTAACATCTCATATCTTATCAACTATGGTGAAAAAATTGAAGGGGGCTCACGAGTATCCATAGGTCTAGTGGGTTTAGGGGGGGGCTAGTCCTCCTGCACTCATGTTGAATCCGCTCCTGCTCACTGCAACCAGCCTCCACTCGAAAAACCTTGTGGGGTCCACGTTGTTTTCTACATGCATTCTGTGTCTAAAATAAATGGTTTTTTCCAAAGACGGAGGAAGTAATTTTGACGGTTGAACTATTTATGTTGTCAAGTTCATGGATAATTTACTTAAGGGTAGAAGTATTTTTTTCTTTTTACAGAGACGCTTGGTGGTGAAAAGATGGAACAAATTGTCTACTAGCACAGTAGCATGGACCAACGTGTGTCGCTCACAGGTGACCACTGTGCGCGAACCGGGACAAATCGCTGCGCCGCCGCGTCGCCGTCGCCGGCGCACCAGGCGGCGGCGGTGGGCGGCACACCGCGGCCACCGCCGACACGTCGACGGCCCTGTGGCTGACGCATCCCGCCAGCAGCCCGACCGGCCGGTCTGCCTGCCGCCGGTGCTGCTGCTGCCTCACGGCCACCGCCGCCGCCGGCCTCCCCTTGCCGCCGCCGCCGCCGCCGCGCCCCGACGCGGCGACGGACACGTCGGCGGCGCTCGCCGTGACCACGCTCCATTGGACGCTCGCCTCGCTGGGCTCGTAGCCCCGGCAGTCGTCGATCATCAGGCTCTTGATCTCGAACAGGTCGGAGCTCGACTCGCTCCCGACGTCGTCGTCGTCGTCGTCGCCGCCGGACGCCGGTATGGTGACCTTCACCGGAGCGAGGAGAGTGAAGTTGCTCCGGAAACTCGAGCTCGAATACTCCGACGTCGCCGCCGTGCCCTCCTCCCTCCCAATGGCCGCCACTCTCGCCGCGCCAATACTATTCAAATTTGGCGGGAGACCAGCGGCGACCACGCCGCCATGGCTGACGCCATCTCCGGCCTTGTCCAGCCTCAGGTCTCTGTACCACTCGATCCTACTCGCCGTCGCCGGTGGCAGCTCGTCCCCCGGATCGCCGGCCGGCTCCGTCGCCGCCACCGCGGCGCCGCCGACGTGCACCGACCGCTTCCCGGAGCACGAGCGCAGGATGCCGCCGACATGGGCGCAGCACTTGTCGCGGCGGCGCTGCTCCCGGAGCAGCACGGCCTGGCTGTTGGCGGTGGAGCCCGATGACCCGGCGCTCGCCACCGACGCGCGCGTCGTCCACGGCGCCGGCCGGCTCACCGCCACGGCCGGCCTCGCCGCCGCCGCCGCCATCACCGGCGACGCGAGGTCCACCTTGTTGTAGCCGTCGGCGCCGTCCATTGCGCCCTTGAAGTACCTCTCAGCGGCGAAGACGTCGAGCTCGCCGTCGGCGTACGTGCGCCGCCAGCTCGCCACGCCATGCGGCGGTGGCGCCGGCAATGGCCGCCGCGGCGGCATCTTTCCGGCGTCGCCTTCCTCCCGGACGAGGTCGAGGTAGGTGGCGAAGCCGCCGCCGCCGCCGGCGACGTTCCGGCGCCGGCCGAACAGCTGGTGCTCATAGGTGACCGTGACGTCACCATTTCTTGAGCTCTCCATTGGTGCACTGATATTCTCAAGTATCTGCCACATAGCCAACTTTGATCTTATATAGACACCACAGCAAGACAGGTACATAAAATTCACCAATTTTTTTTTGTACAAAAATGATTTGATTACCCAACAAATTTAAAAAAAACGTTCATTTAATTGCTGATATGTATCTTTGAAGCAACTGTCACTGCAGCAACAGGGAGCAGACAATGAGGTTTTGAAACTGATCCAGAGAGAGTATGGCTGGAGCACTTAGGGCCATGTGTTTCTGCATCATTTCCTGCAAATTTTGTGGCTTGCTGCAACTCTCTCTTGGTGCCTTAACATCCACAAGGCCCATATTTTTCTGCCGAATTTCTGATGCATTTGTTGTTAAAACACTTCACTCTGAAATAGTTCTGTATTGATTGCAAGGCCCCATTGGTTGGCCATGAGCTGATTATAAACCAAACGGCTTATTAGTGAAAAAAAATTTATACGTAAAAATTTTAAATATACCCTTAATGACTTAAATCTTAAAGGTCAATACTGAAAAAGAAACTATATTAAAAAATATCCTAAAATCAACTACAAAATTAAGTTTTAAAATTTAAATTTTGACAGCGGTTGATTCCATATAGGGCAAACAACGAGGCTGCAAGGCTGACAGTGACATGCTAACATTGGTACTTTCTTGTCCATTAGATTTGAGCAACATTGAGATGATAAGGTTTTTGTGTTCATCATTATTGGGGGTTATACTGTTTTCTTCTGAGGAACACTCATGTTCGATCCCCGCACGAACAGAAATGATTAGATTTATCGGATTCTCGCGCAAAATGACATGTAGAGAGACAGGGGGACACAATGTTACTATCTGGATGTTTTGTTTGTTTGTTTCAGGGTGAATTTGACCCTTTTGTTGTTTCTTGAAACAACTAGATACTAGAGTTTAGACTGAATTTCAGTGTGAAATGCAGAGAGATGGAGTGTGTTAATTTCTGTGGAGGAAAATGATTTCCCTGCTGTCCAGGCTCCCAGCATTTCATAGTTCAGTGTCAGCGAGAAAATGAAAGAAGAGGGTTCATAATATGCAGGTCGTACTGATGTCAACTGCGAAAAAATAATAGCATCATATGCAGACAAGTTTGCAGATTCTTCTAAACGTATGCTCTACAGCTGATAAACCGTAAAAAAATAAACGAAGCAACCAAAGATTTATGGGTAAAGCTTTCATATATGTGGTTTTTAGTGATTTAAAAATCAGTGCAGGAAAATAAACTACGATGAGAAAACCTTAAAATCAACTCCAAGTTTAAGTTTCATAATTCAAATTTTAATTACGACTGATAAACTAGCTAATGAGCAAGCGATGAGTGATGTGAGTAAATCCTCCATGTTATCGCTTAAAGAAAGAGACTAAGTTTACTTCCTGACATGATATGGGACACCAAAACTTGTCTGCAACAGATTGGAACGTTTGGCTGATCCCTTCCAATGTTTGAACGGACGATTTTAAAAAATTTTAAGAACAAAAATAACGAATAGTTGAGCACTCACGAGAGCGTTTAACTAAACTGGACACCTGATCTTCTCCACGGGAAGTGCGGCATTTGCTTCTTGTCTTGTTGAAACAAGACACCCTTTGACTTGTAATTTGGAGGTGTGTTTGATATTAAGTTAGCACTAGTGACATCGTGAATCCAAATATTAGGGGATGGTTTATATGATTATCGTTTTTTCCCCGTCAAAAACAATTTTTAATGTTAAGGTTGCAAGATTCTCATTGGAATTTCATAGAAAATCCGACAGTATGAATGATGAGTAATCATTATTGCAAACAACCATCATTATTGTTGACATGTCAATGAAATTAATTAATTTTCCCTAAAAAAATAATAATGAATTTTTCACCCCCACTGTAAAGGCAATTGCTAAAATTTCACAAAGAAAACATCAAGCTGAATTTTTCCAGTTTTGTATGACAAATGAACTGAGAACGTGAAATTCTTGTCTTCAAATTTTTATAAGAACCACAGATGGTCAGATGGAGGTAAGATAATAGAACACATCTACTGTTAGCAGATAACTCTTGTAGAAGATCTTAACAAATATCGCTTGGATCATGGATAATTTTCAGGCACAAGGACACGTATAATAAACCTCTGGACCACATATTGTCTAATTGTATTTTTCCTTTTTATAAAGTTAAATTATGGACAAGAAAAAGTTAAATTATGGACCCTATATCCTATGGCATTGACGCATTGTTTTCAGGTATTCTTCTGAAATCTCAAGTATTAAATGATTATGGAGTTCAATCATCCAAGCAGGCTTTGAATGTTTGATCGAGTCGTTCGACGGATTGCCCATGCTTTATTCTTTCATGTCTTTGAAAATAAAATAAAATGGTAATGTTCTTGCCATTTATCTTCACATTTTTCATAATCCTGTATCTTGAATCCAGGACAAGTCAAACGACAATGACATATATTAAGATGCTTAGATGCAATCATGCGATTAAGCTATGTTATAGCCTAACCCATGAACAATGCCACCACAGATCAACTTGCTTACATCCACTGAACGACAAGTTGATTGCCCATTGATTGATTGTTAAACTCTTCATTTCATACCACAAATCAAAACACTAAAACGGGACATTAATCCAAAATCCAGTTGTTTTTCCAACTGGGGGCTGGATATTCCTCTGCCCTGAGGCAAATCCCCCAGTTAATGGTGACATGTGCACATTAACCAATTTCCTGATCTTTCGATGAAAAGTGGGCAAATTGCTCTGTTTATGCATATTTCTCCATGTTCTTACATAATTGTATGGAGAACTCTTGATAGCTTTAAGCCAGGGAAAAACCTGCCAAATGGTGCAAAAAAATTTTGTCCATAATACAACAATTGATTACGGTAGCATTGCAATGTAGCCCAGTTTTTGCAACAACTGATAAATAGAAGAATATTGTACACGATGGAGGACTGAATTTTTTTTTTCTAAACAGCAGAAATTAAGGCTTCTGTCCTCCTTGTTCTTGATCTTGCTCATCATCACCCTTGCCAACAAGCTGACATCCAATCAAGCAATAAACTATAAGTTAGCTCTCATAAACAACATCACAACATCGATGATAATCAGAAGGCATATTCCCATAGTCAACCCTGTCAAATTGTTTGCAGACATATGGTTTCAAAATTCAAACAAACCAATCGAATGAGAAGCGAGGCCATAGAACTGTAGTGCTCAAAGGAGGCAGAAATAAGATCTCCTGCTAAATAACTAGTCATCGTAATTCAACACTATCCAGACTCATAAAGAGCATGGTGGCATAGGACAAGGTTCACACTGTTATCCCAACATCATGTGATGAACTTCGGGAAAGGATATATAGTTGCAATTTCCATATTGTTCAGAACTTCATATGCATCAGAAATAACAAATGTTTTTTTTTGTAACAAGTGCAAACTATCTGTGCAAGCTCCTCAGAATTTTTGAAGCATTGCTGGATGCAGAGGAAAAATTTTCTATGGGACTACAAGATATTGTCCAATCATGAAATTTTTCATGTTCATAAAGCAATCGTAACTCGCAATACAGCCACCAACAATTTTAGGTTCACACAAATTTATAGATACCTAGTATGAACATAATACTGTGAAAGCTGGCCTACATCTAGTTCAAATGTTATCATACCAAAAAAATAAACCGAATGCTTAAATTCTACTTCGGGACAAATCGAGCAAGAAATAGAACATCTCTATTTAACTGCAAGGTACTAAGAATTCGACTACAGAAGCATTAAACATATATTAAAAAAATAGAAGTTCGGTGGTGATACCAGAGATCCAATTAACTCGTATGCTTCCATCACTTTTGGGTCCTCCTCGTCTTCATAACCAACCTGCAGTATTCGCGGACCATTGACTGACCAAAAAGCCCTTCGTCCTTCATCCTGGTAAAAGAGAATTACACCAACAGTTCTAGATTATGGTGTGAATTTTACATCCAAATAGCAATTTCGAATCAAATCTTATGTTACATTACTGTGGGTTGATAACAACACATAACTTAGATGAAACGTACTTTGCTAAGTGCCTAAGTATTTTGTGAGGTAAGCAGGCAGTGTCCCATCCAAAATTTCATTTGTTGGGTTGCACTAGATATGCTTGCTGAACAATACGTGACAAGCAGCTTTAGAAAAGCACTGTGTTAGGTGGTGGGAGGTTGGCAAATATCATCTTTTCTCTCTGCATGGAATACTATAAAGTACATTAGTTGTTTTGAAAAAACATATAGCGAAAATGAAGGAGTTTATATAGTTTTCCAAAAATAAAGACGGACAGTGGGGGAAAGGCCACCCCCACAGTATTTCACTAAGAAGAGCTCAACCGGAGCCCGGCCAAGAGAGGTCACAAAAGCTGATCCCCCTCATACATGGGGATGCCGCCCCCTGCGGTTCGGGCCTTAACCCATGCTTTGAGGCCCAGCCCCTTACACGAGGGCCCGCCCACCACAGGTCAGTTCACACATGCCAACCAGGGGAACCAGCGAGTGACCTTTTTTACCCAGCCCGAAATTCGCTCTCACGGGGATCCAGACCAGACCTGGGGTGCTACTAAGGCCACTGTAACCACTAGGCTATAGGCCCCTTCGCTTATATAGTTTTTCAGAAACTTAGGGGAATCTGAATAGTTGAAACAAGCATGCAAAATACATAAAGTACGTGAATTCAGAGATCATATAGATCGCCTGGAATGTCAGATTCACCTGAAGGACAATCATATAAATAGCCTCAAGTGCCTGTTGCCGAATTTCAGAGTTCTCAACAGCCTCTCGTTCATGGGAGAGTGCATTTGCAAGCTCAGGAGGCATTTTTGATCTATCTTCTTCACTGTAGATCTGCATTGTCAATCACCACCAACAGATGTGTAAGAGGTAGGTGAGCATTTGTCACCGGACACAAAATAAGAGTTAAACAATGTCTTTTTTTAATTATTATTGTTAGGGAGGAAGAGAAGTATCCCTGCCATCATTCAAAGCTGTGGATTCACTGTTTTCATTGGGTTATTCCTATGTTTAGGCTATTCTATGTGCACAGGGAATTAATAAGGGAGCAATGCAAAACGCAAGTGCATTTCTACTTGAATATATTTGGGAAGTGTTCTGCAGTATGTTGTGAGGAGAAATTAACTTTTTACACCATTTTGGAAAAAAGCAAAGGCAACGTAAAATAAAAACAATTTAACATGGTATTTCAACACCAGGTAAACATACAGTCAGTGCAAGTAATCATGCCCATAGGCAAAACGGTCATCAGAGCCAATGCAATAGAAATTACCACAACAGAACAGAAATGGCAATTACCAAAAACATGCTCAAAGTAGATTTCATATAAACAGTACAATTCTACACAAGTTAAAATAATACCTTCTTTCCAGCTACGGGCAAAAGTAGAGCTGGCCAAATATATTCTGCTAGAGAGAGCAAATTTTGTATTTGGGTATCAGCTTCAAAGCAACAGTTACGGATGGTGCTAACAACCTGCAAAGGTTCATAAAAGGAATCAGGAAGCAGGACATCCATGGATCTATGGAAGCACAAAGTCCAACAAGATTAACACTAAATGAAATACCAATGTAGCTATGCCAGGCAAATGGACTGTCAGGATACAGTAAAGTAGACAGCTTATGAGCATAGCTAAACATTAGGCATTCAAGTTAACATTAACATATTTGAAAAGAACTTGGAATCATTAACCTTTATTACTTCTATGATGCATGGAAAGTAAGATCATGAAGAATTATCAAATAATGCAATGTTCCAATTTACTGATTGCATTTCCATCGCTACATATTCGCTAAGATTCCTTTTGCCCTTTGGGCACTCTCGGACATTATGTAGCAGCTACTCACAAAGTTACTAAACAACAGTCGATAACTTGGTGTGTGATGATAAAAGTTGAGAACAAGAATATGTCCACAGACCAAAGTATGTCAAAAACAAATAAATATGGACCAAAAAGGTAGAGTATAAATCATGTCACATTAACTCCAGCATCAAGATTCATAATGCACTGTACATACCCCTTTCTTTCTAAGTTGGTTTGTTGAATCAGATTGCCGTATAATCTGTTTTAAAAGGCCTCTCTTAGGTTCCATCAGTATTCTCCTTCCAGCTTCAACCTTTGAGATGTTCACTAATATAGAAGCAACATGTTCAAAGATATCTTCCTCTGCATGTAAAAGGCAAAAAACAGTCTGATGAATTGGTGGGTGACTTTCTCAGTTGAGCTAAACAATCACAAAAGGGATCGCAAATCTGAAAAATGGATATATTGATTCAGTTCCCAATGAAAAAGAAAATGATATATTTTCATCAAGAAAATGATATCTAATAACAAGTGGCTACTGTGGAAGATCAGATAACGGTAGATTCTGTCACTGGTATTAGTTTTAGGTTAAGCTGGTCTGTGGCAGCTGCTGCAGCTTTTGGTTTCCACATATATAGAAAAATCGTAGAATTTGATGGATGAATAGCAATAATACAAAGCAAGACAGATAATAAAAACAGAGATCAGGAACACAGCTGATGACATTAGGGGGGTGGGGGGGGGGGGTAATTCACCTTCAGACTCACTGGATGACCTGCAGAATGACCGCACAAGCTTTGCAACATACAGTCCTTGCATCTTTTCATCTCCAACCTTTTGAAAACAGCAGAACTAAATTCAGTAATCCATACATGCTTCAGTTAAAAAGAAAAAAATAATACAACCGGTATTTATTGACCCAAGATGTTTTGCTCTGTGTTATTGTTACCAGGACTAACTGGACTAACCACCAGAAATCACACAATTCAACAAAGTGATCATTTACCCAATTACCTAAACTAACATTGAACTAGGGCAACATGCCAACATCATTGTTTGACAACACTCACACCTTCAAGGTGTAATCAGGGTTCAGAATATCGGTGTTCACCCTATGAAATCTGAGAACCAGCCCATAACCGCCAATTACCAGATCTTAGTAGTAGCAAAAAAATTCTAAAGTTAAATATTCAATATTTGAATTCTCCTTCCAGTCAGTAACCACCCCCAGCCAGTCCCTGGCTCCAGGCCAGTCATTGGCCGGTTACCACCAGTTTTATTAATCCCGGTGTGGATACCAGTGACACATGATTAAAAGGAGTTATGTCGCGCACATAGAGATAGCAAAGTTATTAGCAATACTTAATCCAAATAACGACAGCAGAAACTTCATTTGTTGTCAAAAGTCAATCATCAGTCACCATCATTGGCTTAACTGAGCAGATGGCAAATCTGCAATGCTTCTCGACAGATTACTAAAAGCAAGGGCCATAGTTTGGTAAACCTAACACAGAGACTTGAACAACACGAAGAATTGATTTTATGAAGAAAGATGAATCATCAACGCAACTCGCGCCAGCAGATGCATGTATTCACTTTAGTTTTCCTAATAACTAATGCCATTCTTCTTTAGTTCTTTTTGACTTTGGGAGTTTATGCTTCTAAGTTCTAATTAATACAATAAATTACTCCATAGAATTGCACAGTTCGTACACCCTGCCCTCTTTCGCTAACAAAAAGATTTGAACAGAAATAATATCATCTCTGTACTAACTCTCACTCAGGAAAGTGGTTCTAGCACCACGAAATAGATACTCCCTCTGTTTGGTGTTGAAAATATTGCTATATTTTTTTCTATAAATTTGGTCAAACTTAAAAAGCTTCACAATGGCTCAAAGCGTCTTATAATATGAATTCCCACAAATGAGAGATGAGAATTGACATGTCTACTTAAAACTACTACAATAGCTGATGATAACAGCAAATTTTGCACTTGATTTGGGAGAAAGAGCAGTGGGCGACCTGGAGGAGGGCCGCGACGCCGGAGTCGACCTGGGTGAGGTTGGCGAGCAGCATGACGAGGCTGCGCGCGAGGCCCGGCTGCTCCCCGCCGCGCTTGGCCACGACGTCCATGGCGGCCACGACGGCGCCGAGCGACACGAGGCGGGCCGAGAGCGCGCCGTCCTGGCTGAGGTTGACGAGCGAGTCCGCCGCCGCTCCCCCCGTGCCCAGCTCGCCCCCCGCGGACGCCAGCAGCCGGAGCAGCGCCGGCAGCGCGCGGTCGGCGCGCGCCGAGAGGGCGCGCAGGCCGTCCGCGTCGCCCGTCAGCCCCCGCACGATGCCCGCCGCCGCGCCGCGCACCTGATAGAAAAACAGACGGCGAACGAGAACGAGAACACGGGTCAGAGAGAAGCAGAACAGCTACTAAGCCATGGGGAATCAAGGGGGGATCAGAGCGTACGTTTGGCTGGGGAGAGGAGAGGAAGCCGAGGAGTTCGTCGAGCTCGTCGGCCATGGCGGCGGCGGCGGCGGCGAGGGGGGAGGAGGTTTTGTGGGGTTCGGCTTCTCTCCAAGTCCGAAAGCACGCGACGTGACGGATTTACGCAAACCCGAGGTGAAAACGTATTGCACGGAAATACGTAAGCCAGCGGTGAAGACGTACTCCCTCCGTAAAAAAAAGACGATTTCTAGCTAGCGGAGTTTGTCCCATATAAAACAGACTTCTACCGAAAATTTGACAATTTGGCCCTTTTTAAAAACTATTTGCAAATTTGGTCCCTGGCAAAAACTATCACCAGATCTGGACCCCGACCTCAGCGCCAGGGTCGATGGCGCTGAGGTTGAACATCTCAGCGCCGACCGCATTGGCGCTGAGTACTTGACGGCCCTAAGGCGAGGATGGACGGAACGGCGCAATGTCAGCGCCGACCGACTTGGCGCTATGTTTCGGGACCTCAGCGCCATCGGGTCTGGCGCTGAGGTCCTATAACCCCCGAGCCGCGCCCAGCAGCCCGGGCCTTCTTTCTTCCTCCTTAGTGGCTCTCGGCTGAGGCGCGGCGGCGCCGAACCATCTCTCTCCTCCCCTCCAAAAAATCGAAAAAATCCCCACTAAATCGTCGCATTTTGGAGGGGAAATTGTTGGAGGACATAGTGGCAAGGTATTCTCCTCCGAATCCTCTCGTCATTTCGCATTTTTTTTTTGCTTGGATTTGCTCATTGATGGATGAACCCTAGAATCGTGATTTGGGGTTATTTTCCCTAATTAGTTGGTTCTCTACTCTGTGGTTGTAATTGTTGTTGGTGATGCAATGGTTAGATGCTCATAGAACCCTAATTTTTAGTGGAGATTTTTGGCACTTAGGGAAGAACCCTAATTTTTCCCCCAAATTACTGAAGAACACTTTTTTTTTTAATTTTCATCACAATGCGAGAGTTCAAATTTAGGATGGATCGTTACAAATGGAAGTTTGTGTATGTTTAGATATTTATGGACAATTTCGTTGGGGGACATAGTTGTAGGTTAGATTTTATTTTATTGCAAATTCAAGTTTTTAAAAAATGCAATATGCTAATATGTCGATTAATGTTGTAGATGGATAGATTAGTACGATTGCACTATGGTGGTTCGGTGGTAGAGCAAAGTAACGGTGGTAGCAATTTCGAGGGGATGAGTGTTAAGCAACTTATATTTGGTGTAAAACCTAGTTTTGAGGAGTTAGTTTGTCGTACAAAGGATGTGCTGGGGTGAAGCAATCAGTCTATAGCTATACAAGGTAGATATGATGTTGGAGCAGGACCCATTTCACACAAGTACATGCTAGATTTGAATGGGGAGTTGGAGTGGAACACATTTGTGGATATAGTGTTGGGCTCCTAATTCAAGTCGCTTGAGGTGGTTGCTTCGAAGCTTGATCATACTGACTGCAGAGATGATTCTTTTGACCTCAATCGCACACTGTTTTATGATGAACCAAACTATGAAGCATTTGATGATGAAGGAGCTATGAAAAGTCAGTCGGTTAAGTCTTTGACAGTTGAGGAAGTCATAGAATCTCAAGGGATGGGGGTTGATGTTAACATGCAAAAGAAGGAAGCAGTTGATGCGAATGAGGGAAGGAGTCAGGAATCTGAAAAGGTGGAGATAAATGTGGAGTTGCAGAAGGAGGAAGCAGTTGAGGCTAATAAGGCAAGCAGGCTTGAATCAGAAGGGGTGGAGGTAAATGTGGAATTGCAGAAGGAGGAAGCAATAGAGGTGAATGAGGCAAGGAGTCAGGCAGTTCCGATAGTTGGAAATCATGTTGATGATGATAATGAAGTGGCAGATGGATCAATGGGGGGAGGTGGAGAAGAGCGTACTACGGATGCTCAATTAGCATCCTTAGTGCGGTTCTGTTTTCGAGACAAAATATATACTCGGAGGGAGTGTGAGGAGACTTTGTTGATGAATGGATTGAGTGTTGATTTGCTGCACGAACATTCAGAGGAGTATGATAACACACATGAGGAGGAGGGATATGAGGTTGAGTATGCCGTAGACTCAGATGATGATCATCCAGTAGCCAAGATGTCTCAGGAAGAAAGAGAGGTGTTTGAGAAATTAGTTGGACGCAATCCAGAGGTTGTTCAGTTCGAGGATGTTAGCAATTCTGAGCTAGCAGTTGTTGATGGAGGAGTAACATACAATGGCATCATCGATGCAATGGGTGAGGAGCCAAAGAAGGGTTTGGAATTTAAATCTCTTGAGCTATTACAGATATGGCTGCAGAGTTACTCGATCAGTGTGCATCGTCCATTCCATGTGAAGCACTCCAACACTTCTAAAAAGTATACGGTGGCCTGCATCGAAGAATCATGCGAATGGCAGGTTCGTGCAAGGAAGACTAAGGATGGGAGGTGGAGAGTTACCGGTGTAGGCAAAGAGCACACATGTTGTAGTACTGAGGCTTCGGGCAAGCACTTGCAACTAACTTCTAAGTTCATCGGTAATAGGTTGCAACCATTTGTCCGAGCTGAGCCGACATTGACTCCTGCTACTATAGTTGAGGCTGTGGAGGCCATATGGCACTATCGTCCTTCGTACGGTAAAGCTTGGCGTGCAAAGCAGGTGGCCATGAAGAACATATGGGGAGATTGGGATGAGGCATATGTTCGGCTCCCAACGCTTCTAAATGCTATTAAGGCTAAGAACCCCACAATGCATTATGTTGTTGAGCCTCACCCAGAGAGGTCGAGGCCGGTGGATGGGGTAATGAGACGTGTATTTGGGCGTGCCGCATGGATCTTTGGGCAGTGTGTGGAGGCCTTCAACCACATGCGTCCAGTGATAGCAATTGACGGTACCTTCTTGACAGAGAAATTTCAAGGTACTTTGCTGACAGCAATTGGTTCTGATGCGGGTTTGCAACTAGTCCCCTTAGCCTTTGCTCTGGTAGAGAGGGAGAATAACTACAACTGGGAGTGGTTCATCAGTATGATTAGGAGACGCTTGATAGGACCCAATAGAGAAGTGTGCATCATCTCAGATAGACACCAAGGCATCCTATAGTCAATCAACAATGTCATCCCAGGTCACCGTCCAGTACATCACAGATGGTGTATGCGTCACTTGTGCACTAACTTCTACAGCGCTAGTGCAACTCAATTTCAGATGAAAGATCTAGAGCGCATTTGTCAAATAAATGAGAAGTCTGAGTTCGAGAAGGAGGTGAAGCACCTCATTGATTTCCTTGAGCCTCGACCAAAGAAGTGGCTTCTAGACATTATGCCACAGAGGCACAAGTGGGCACGGTCCTGTGATCCTGGAGGTCGTAGATTCGGCTTCATGACGAGCAACATGGTAGAGAGTTTCAACAATGTGCTCAGAGGCATTCGTAGGCTACCAGTAACAGCCATCGTGGCATACACGTTCAGCAAGTGCAATACGTGGTTTGTTGATAGGCATAAGTTCGTAACAGATGCATTACATAAGCATGAGAGGTGGCCGAAAAGAATTAAGAAGGAGCTTGACATACAGAAAGCACGTACTCTGGGCCAACGTACGACTTGCTTCGACTTCCCTACAGCGAAGTACGAAGTGACTGAGCAAGGTGGAGTTACAGAAGGTGGAGTGCAATGGGGTGGCCGACATTATACGGTGGTTGCGACAGCCAACACTTGTACATGCCAATATCCGGAATTGCACCACATGCCATGCTCCCACATGTTCACTGTTTGTAGGCTAAGACGTATGGATGCAGAGGCGCCCCCTAGGATATGCTTTGAAGCTTCTAACATAGCTTTGCAACGTACATACTCCCCTAGGTTCGAGCCATATCTAGATCCAACTCAATGGCCAAGTTATGACGGTGAGGTGTTTGTACCAGACTTGTCAAAGATGATTGTTACTCCTGGCAGAAGAAGAACTAAAAGGTTCATCAATGACATGGATAGGGGATACAAGGGGATCGGTCTTTGTCGGTCACAGAAGCCGAATGATGGCAATTCTGAGCGTGTAGTGCCTAACAGGTGTTCCATATGCCACGAAGTAAGTCATAAGAAGACTACATGCCCTAAGCGCGACAAGTCTAAGGATCGGCCCAGAAAACGACGATGCACTTGTAGAGGGGGAGAAGGTCCTAGTACACAGGTGGTTAGAATGCACAGTTTGCTTTTGTTTCATTGCATCATTCATATTTGCATGTCAATAATTTCTGTTAAATTCACAATTTGCTTACTTTTACTATTTCACTTATATTTACATGTTTCTAACTTCTTTTTTCCATATGTAGGATGGCGCATGCCCTAGCTTTGGAGCCACAGTACGAGGAGAGGCACCGAGCTCGCGGGATAGCGGAGGGAGGGGTAATATACTATTAATTGCTTATTATTCACTTGTTCAATTGTTCAATGAATCTCACTTGTTCAATTGTTGTTTTGTGCACAGGGTCTGAAGCCGTTGCAGATTCGAGGGCACTTGGCAGGGGATATGCCCTTCGACAACCGCTACATCCCTCGACTACGGGCCGCCAAGCTCTTGCCGTTCATCACCATGGCTCAGAGGCCAATGCCTGTTTACAACGGGCCAGCACTCACAGCGCTCGTCGACCGGTGGCGACCGGAGACACACACCTTCCACCTTCCTTGTGGCGAGCTGACGGTGACACTTGAGGACGTCGCCATGAACCTGGCTCTCCCCATCCAGGGGAGAGCGGTCACCGGTGACACGAGCTCGGGTAACTGGCGGCTGACAGTGGCCAACTACCTTGGAGTCGAGCCTCCGGAAGCCCCTGCCGGTCATAGGCTTACGAAGACTTCCGGAGTTTCCCTCTAGTGGTTGCGCACCACCTTTAGTCACTGCCCGTAGGACGCTGACGATTTGACGGTCGATCGTTACTACAGGGCGTATGTGCTCTACTACTTCGGCAGTGTGTTGTTTCCTGATTCAGGTGGTGACATGGCTTCCTAGATGTGGCTTCGTCTTCTAGGGAATGGACAGAGGCAGGGTAGTACAGTTAGGGTTCGGTAGCCCTAGCTTGGTTGTACAGGCAGTTGTGTGATGCCTGCCAGCGTCTTTCTAACACCTCCAACCTAGCAGGCTGTGTGTGGTTGCTGCAGGTTCGATTTCTTTTATTTTTTGTACATT